ACCAAGAGAGCAAGCTTTCTTTCTAGTTTATGGCTGAAAAAGAAGAAAAAGGTGATAAGTTATTTAATTGATAAGAACGGAATGGGTCAACAGAATCACGAAGTAAATCTTAAATTGGCAGGTGGGAACAGGCAGAGAGAGAGAGAGAGAGAGCAATGAGCAATGTGCAAAGAAAAATTGAAATGAATGGGGGAAAATAAAGAATCTGGAGCTAACCAGAACCTCCCAATTTCCAGAAGGCTTACAACAATATTATCGTTTCTGTCGTAAGATCCAATAAGCCCGTTTTTCCGTCACCTACACATTAAAACATAAACATTTTTCTAATTCCAGAAAAATACAGTTCCAGACGAATTTTTGTTTTTCGGAGATGTTTCAAGATATTCAATGATTTTCTTGCACCGTAAACGCTCTAATAGAATGGCCCCCTGAATTGTACACTTTGATACAAGTTTTCTCGGTTCATGTGACTGACAAAATAATTGTAATATTATGATAAGAACTTGATCAGTTACCGTAAAACCTGTAGTATAAGATCCAACTAACTTTCAACTTTAAGCCAATTTTTCTCTGTTGCTGTCAAAGATACAAAAAAGTTGTCAACTGATAATTTGTTCATCGTAATGTGCAAAATTTTTTTTTTAGTTGACTCATTTTTGATATCTTGCACAGGAATTGAGATAATTGACCTCAAACTCGACAGTGGGGGAGCCTTATATTACAGGTTATACGGTAGCCACTCTTTGATGTCTTCTGATTAAAGTGGAGCGTTTGAAATACTAAAAATATAATCCCGCACTTTATAAATTAAGGTTAAAGTTTCGTTTCCATTCATCTATCGATTATGATCCTGATTCCTCTTTTCTCTTTTATTCATTCTTGACTTTTCTCTCCATTTTCCAAAATTCAAAAAGCACGCTCTCCCACAGAACAATTCCGAACTGCAAATTAATTTTTGATCTACAGAAAAAAAGTTTGGCGCGATCACAATTGCAGGTCTAAAACCATAATTACAGGATTTTTTATCTGATTTTGTGGAGTTCCAAGATGATTCAAATGATTCTTAAAAAATTAATTAGTGGTTATAGATTCATGTATGGCCGTTTTCCGGAAGAAAAAAATTTCAAATATGGTCATTTTGAAAGTTTTTTACAGAAAAAATCTATCTC